TGAGGTTTCAAATGATTCTGTAACCTAAATAGAGAAGACGCTGAAATCTCCCTTTTATGACAAATTTTCGACACTTCATACTTACAAACCCCAAATAAATATGACAGGAAAATTCTAGATTCAACCGCCCTAATAATAAAATTTTATTTTTCAGCTAAAAATATAATTGAAATAAAATTGAGAGAAATGGGCAACAAAAACCCTATAAGCAAAATCCTTTAACTACACAAAAGTAACTACATAAAAATCAACAAGTAGCTCAAAAGTCAAAAACAGAGGAACAAATTTATTTAAAAAAAAAAAACCCACAATATCAATTTTTTGCTGAAAATATGAATAAAAAAGTAAAATTCCAACAAAATTAATAATTATATACCAGCAAGAGAAGGCAGGAAAGAGATTTTTGAGCAGCAAAAAGGGTTTGAACCGCTATTGCTTCCACAAATGAGCAGGCTGTTAGCTCCTCTCTCAAAGCACTTACATTAGAGTTCAATTTACTAAGCTCCATTTTGCCCAAGAATTGCCTAAAATTACAGTAAAAAAACAATGGCTTAAGAGAGAGAAACTACGAGGATTTTTGGAGAGAAGGTTCTAGGGTAGGGTTGATTTTCGATTTATGTCCAAAGGAGTGCAATTGGAAAACGAAAAATTTAAAGAAGGGTACATATGAATGATTTCTAGGATTTTATGGGTGTACAATGAATATTTCAATTCTTAGAGGGCTTAATTTTATACTATTGAAATTTTGTTACAAGTTTCACGCGCTTTTGAAGAAGTTGAAACACGGATTTCTCCTAGCTAATTGTGATGTAAGATCTACTCATTAATTGGCAGTGTGATGTACGCTCTATAAGAGGAGAATGGCATTAGGGACGGGATTTCACCCGGACTCGGGTCTCCCTTCTAGGCCCGCCAACCCGGTGGATTGTCTTATGGATAATGGGCCATGCTAGCTGGCAGCCTGCTTTAACTAGATGATGATGTGATAACTTTTTGATATTTTTGTTTTCAAAAAATTAACAATGTAAAATTATTTTGTGTACAATTTTAGTTAGTTTATTTCTATACATAGTCGATCCTAATCCCAGATAAATTAGAAGGGTTGTCATGGATTATTTTTCAGGTATAAAATAATTTAATTAATTTTATTTTAACGAAATATGTAAGAATGTAAGTCGTTGAGTCCGATACTATCAGGTATAGAACATGGGTTAACTTGGTTAACATTTTGACAACGTGCTAATCCTGATCTTAGTTATGGGACTGAAGAATTTCCAAACTGAAATACATTGATAAGTGAATAATTAATGAAATAATCATAAAATGATTGCACACAACAACTGATAAATTTTATCACGTGTCTCTATTTTTTTATTGGTTTTAATTTTAAGTGACCAAATAAAAATATTCAAAGAATGTGTCAAACCTCATTTAGTATGGCATTAAGTCGTCTTCCGGATTAATGAAATTGTGCTGATTATTGTTGTTTATCGATATGATCTGCTTATTTCAACAGCCTCATTCATTTCAATTCGACAAAATCGCCAATATAACTAATCATATATGTTGCATCAAATCGCCTTGAAATTCGAAAGATATAAACTTTAATTGCATAAACATTGTCTACTCATTAGGATCTCCATGTATAAAACATTGATTCCACATGAAAATTTCAAAACTTTGTCAGATGAAGACGAGTAAGAACAATACTTGGCCATGGACATTCGAACTGTTCAAGCAACAAATCAAGTTGAGACTTGATTCGAAAAACATATGGATAATTGATAAGAAAAGTAAATATGGTATAAGGCAATAGGGAATTGTGAGTACGGTTCAATCCCTACGCTACCCTAGAGATCTACTGATAGTAGCTTAGCCCTCGTTTGGCCCCCATAATTTTTCATTTTAATGTTTGAATAATATTCTTTTTAAGAATGTGTAGTTAAAAAAGAAGAAGTTTTTTTTTTTGGTTTACGTGTGATATTATTTTATTAGAAAATGTGTTGTTGATAAGAAAATAGAGAAAAATGAATTATAATTTTAATGGAAGTCAAACAAGGAAATGACACTGAGAAAATGAGGCAAGGAATGGGGGGCATGAGACTATATTTGACTCGTAGTTATAAACATAAATACTAAAGAAACTTTTTGGTCCATTTGTTCTAAGGGATCAACGAAACTAATCTCTTATCAACCACTTATTTTTATCTAAATGGTTTATAGACATTTTTCAAACATGCTCTAAAATCCTTGGTGGGGTGGGGTGGGGCAGGGCAGGGCATGAACATGGAGGATTGCCCACCCTATTGCATCATTGTTTAGAAAGTGTTTATAAAAGGTTTTGTTTATAAATAAATAGAAATGAATGATAGATAAGTGATAATATTTGTGACTCCGTCGAAATGTGTTGAATGAAAAGTAACTTGAGTACGTATAAATAATTCATAAACATTAACCAACCATAGGCAAATTTCTGATTGTGACACCAACATTTTGTTAATATCGTATGCGATTTTGTAGACGCAAACAGACGAGTTTCAGACCTTCAAAATAATATATATTTTGTGCAAAAATTTGAAAATAAACGAAGTAGAAAAATTTAATATGTAAAGTGATGAACAAATTAAGTTAGGACAAAACTATTAAAGAACAGAGTTTCTTTAGAAAAAATTAAGCCCCTTGCAACCACTATTTATGTAAAAATTAAAATGAAGTTTCAAATAATAATCTTGTAAAGAATACGTCGTTAAAAAATAGGAAAATGTTTTGGGTTTACGTGCAGAATATTTTATTTCGTGAATGCATAGTTGAAAATGAATATATAGAAGAAAGAGTTTTGAAATAATGATCGTCAAATGAGAGCTAAATGTCGAACGTGGTCGATTAAGTGAAAGTTGCATTATAAGTCATTTTCCATTCCTAAATATGTTACTTTTTTCTAAGTAAAAAAAAAAAAAAAAAAATTATTTGGAAAGATTTCTTGCCAAAATAAAAATTACCTACTTTAATGCTTATAAGTAACTTTAAACTTTTTAAGTTCAGCCAAACATGCCAGTATGCATTTCCCCCTTTCTTCTAAAATTGAAATGCTAGCGCGCGCCATAAATTCAAATGGAAATCCAGTAATCCGAGAGAACTCACGGAGTTTGTACTTTGTACAATAATGGCGCACGCAGCAAGATTGAATCTCCGAATGCAGAAGGAATTGAAGCTCCTACTCACCGACCCACCTCACGGCGTTTCTTTTCCTTCTCTCTCCGATGACTCTTCTTCTTTATCTTCCTCTCTCACCTCTATTGATGCCCGTATGCCTATCAAACTCATCATATTACATCTACCGTATTTATATATAATAGTGTGCGTAGATATATTTTTGAGTTACTGGGAAGTCTGATTTTGAATAATGCAGATGTTAAAGGACCTGAGGGGACTGTCTATGCCACGGGGGTTTTCAAAGTTAAGGTTCAAATTCCTGAAAGGTATGATTTTCTGCTTTAAAATTACTTTATTTTTTTTTTTTCCTGAATTTTGATTTATGTTTTCATTGGTGAGATGGATTTTCATTGTACTCTTGATTAGGTATCCATTTCAGCCTCCTATTGTGACGTTTACTACGCCAATATACCATCCAAATATAGACACTGGAGGCCGAATTTGTTTGGATATCCTCAATCTTCCTCCTAAGGTACGTGTCTCATTTCATTCCTTTCAATTACTACCGGGTATAATTATTACATGAACTTGATTAGAAATATCAGTTGTTAAATACGAAGGGGTTACTTATTAGTTCTTCAATTGATAGGAGGCTATTAGCCAGTTTGGTCGTTGAAAAGAAAGTGTTATAGGGGCTGAGAAGTGAGGACTGAACCGTAGGAAGGTGAATCAAGTTAAGCTTGCAGTAGTTTGTCTTCTAATGTAAATTCATCATGTTATTACCACATCTTAAATGGCAGATGCTAAGAATAGTTAGAAATTGATTAATAGCATGTTTGGCTAAGCTTAAATGGGTGCTTGCCATCAAAATCATGCTTTTAAGCTACATTAGGACTGGAACTTCTGCAAGGAACTTACTCGACAAAGAATTTTGCTACCTTATGATTGTTATAGTTACGGCTGCTGTTCATCTGGGCTTCAGTCGCCAGCTCCCCTATCATTAAGTCACCAACTTTCTTCGGCAAGACAACTAACTATATAATAACTGTTAAGAATTGGGATTCCGTTTTAAAAAGTCAACTTTATTAAGAGGAGTAGTCCAAAATCTTTATTAATTGGTCTGTGTCAACATCATTTATCGATGTGGGATATATATCCCTTAACACGCCCCCGCAAGATGGTGGCTCATTTGAGCAGACCAATCTTGAAATCCACGTGCTCACTTTTGGAGTCTTAACGGGATCGAATCGCT